TTTTTTTGTTCATCAAAACTTCGATCTTCCCCCGCCACCCCCTCCCTCAATTTTTCTATAAAAAAAGTTGCCACTTCGCTTATTTTTTTAGATATTCTTAAAACAAAGCACACCTCCCCCCTTTTTTCGAAAATATCTCGAAAACTAAAAGAGCGACTTTTTACGGAAAAATTTTGGGGGTGTAGGGGGGGGGGATTATTTTTTTGTTCATCAAAACTTCAACCCTCCCCTTCCCCCCGCCACCCCCCTCGCACAAATTTTCCATAAAAAGTTGCTATCTCGCTTATTTTTTGAGATATTTTCGAGAATATCTCGGAAACTAAAAGAGATGACGACTTTTGACGAAAAAAATATGGGGGAGTGTAGGGGTAACTCTAAGAGAATTAGAATTTAGAGAGAAAAAATTTCCGCTTCACCCAGCCGGGAATCGAACCCGGGTCTCCCAGATACGCGCCGGGCACTCTTACCGACTAAGCTACCGGGAACCACAGAAATTCACTCTCAAATTCACCTCAAACACCGCCTAACCTCCTTTAGGCATTAGTAGTGCAACCACTACATCCACACACACCTGAGGAGCGATAGCCGAGACGCACCGCTCATCGACACGAGTGCTATCTCAGTCTAATATTTATTTCGCTCACTCGCACCTATTGTCACGCGTCTACCTGTCGAGGGACAATTTAATCCGCACTGACCATTCGTCAGATCATCTCCGACCTCAATTCGGAATACTCACATAAATTTTCTACCGTACTTTTACTTTTACGCGATTACGAATAAATACCTAATTTAGTATTTTAACTAAAACTCGTGAGTGATTGACTATAAACCCTTACAATCCAAATCCTCAATCACTACATTGGTGACCCTGACGTGATCGTCAAAAAGGGTTTTCTCGCGTAATACACTGCAAAAACAGTTACAACGAATCTCGGGCGTTCAACGGACACGTGCCACGTTTTCGCCGCATCCTCTCAACGTCTGAATCAAACAGTGTTTTCGTGCATTAACTTTCACACCCCACGTGTGCAGTGTATCTAAACATTTTAATCGTGCTCTCGAGTGATAAACTATTACGATAGCCAGCGTTTTAAATCTTCCGTTTAATTTTCGTGAAACCCAAGCGTTCGAGAACATTTCACGCGTCGGTTTTCGCCCCAAATTTGACCTCGAGGAGACAAAACAAACGCGTCCAGTGCTATTAGATACTCGTCAAGTGAGAGTGATAAAAACAACACAATTTTATTTCAATTTCACCGCGCGTTAGACAGTGACCGCGAGTGAAATCGATTTTGCTGGCACATTCCTGAGTGCCCATAGACGTTGCGCTGTGCTAGCAGAATAATAAAGACTAATAACGCCTTTATTTCTTGTGTTGTGTTGTGACGTAAACAGTTCCTCTCAATAGAAACTCATCAAAAATGCCACCAAAACTCGATGAGGCCGGGCTGCTTATAATACCTCCAGTGCAAGTCACGCAGGTCGTCGATGTAAAAACTACTCGTTTCTGTGAAGAAAAACCCGCTCTCTGGTTCGCACACTTAGAATCACAGTTCCGCAACAAAGGAATTGTCACAGAAATAGACAAATTCCACTTTGCAGTCCCGCTTATCGACACACGTTCAGCAGCACGAATGGAAGATTTGATCATCAACCCACCGATGGACACTCCCTATCGGAAACTTAAAAACAAGCTCATCGAGCGCTTCACTCAATCAAAACAAGCGAATCTGCTCCAGTTGCTTGATGGCGAGAAACTCGGTGATCGTAAACCATCCGAACATTTTCGTCACCTCAAGTGCCTGGTACCAGATATCGACGAAGACGTCCTCAAAGCTCGCTGGGTATCACATCTGCCCCAAATGACTCAGGCCTGTTTCGTCACGCAAAAGACAGCAACAATTGAAGAGCTTGCCGAAACAGCTGATCGACTCCATGAAGTATTGCAGCCAGCGAGAGTCGCATCTGTTTCAAACCTGGAACAACAGATCGCTGAGCTGATGAAGCAGGTCGCCAGCTTAGCAACTCACGTCTCTCGTCGTGATACCAAACCTGATCCAAAACGATCACGCAGTCGTTCACGCAGCATCCACAAGCTGAACAAGAGCACAGGTATATGCTGGTATCACAACAAGTACGGCAACAAGGCACGTAATTGTGTGCCTGGCTGCAAGTCAGCGGGAAACTTAAACGAGAGTCACTAGCGGCGGAAGTCGACTCTCGGACTATCCCGCCGCCTTTTCCTCACGGACAAGACAACTGGTCTTCAATTCCTCGTGGATACGGGTTCAGAGGTTTCGGTCTTCCCCCGCAGGCGGCAGATTTCATCAAGAAAATCTACAGGATACCAACTCTTTGCTGCAAATAGATCAGTGATCAATACATATGGTCACGTGATTCTCTCACCTGATCTTGGACTTAGAATAGGCCTGGCGATTTGTTGAGGCGGATGTCTCACGTCTAATAATCGGAGCTGATTTCCTCAGTCACTTTGGTCTCCCCGTCGACCTGAAGCGCTAATGCGTCATCGACGAAACGACCAAGCTCGCATCAAACGGTAGACGTGCCAACTGCGACGCTACTTCAGTGAAATCACTCCAGATAACAGGTGACACTATGGATGCAGATTCTCCAAGAGTTCCCGTCGATCACCAAAACGGACGGAACACTCAAAGTCACGGAACACACGACACTCCACCACATTCGAACTACGCCGGACCACCAGTCTCATGCAAAGCGCGACGCCTCGCTCCTGAGAAACTCAAGGTCGCCCAGTCAGAATTCTCATCGATGATGAAACTCGGAACAACGAGACGTTCACGGAGCCCTTGGGCATCACCCCGTCATCTAGCTGAAAAGAACAATGGCGAGTGGAGGTCGTGTGGAGATTACCGCGCCCTCAATAGCCGAACATTCTCAAATAAGTATCCCATCAGATACCTTGATGATTTCGCTGCTAACTTACATGGTACCACAATTTATTCTACCATAGACCTTGTGAAAGCGTTCAATCAGATCCCCGTCGCACCTCAGGACATTCCAAAAACTGCCATCAATACACCTTTTGGCTTATTTGAATTTCCTTTCATGACCTTCGGACTCAGAAACGCCGCACAGACGTTCCAACGTCTCATCGATGAGGTTACACGTGACCTACCATTCACGTTCCCCTACATCGATGACATCCTAGTCGCGTCGAAGGACGAGGAACAGCACCGGAAACATCTCAGAATCATCTTCAGCAGACTCCAGAAGTATGGTTTAATCGTCAACGTCGCAAAATCCAACTTGGGTAAGCCTGAAGTAATTTTCCTGGGACACACGATTAATCGACACGGAATCAAACCTCCTGAAGACCGCGTAACCGCAATTCTTGAATTCCCGAGACCAACAACGGTGAAGAAACTGTGCAGATTTCTTGGAACCATCAACTTCTACAGGAAATTCATCAATGGAGCCGCCAAGATCCTCGCCCCGATCAACGAAACACTGAAAGACCCCGCGATAAAAGACAGTCAACTAGTGGACTGGACACCAGCACTCGAGGAAGCCTTCACACTCTGCAAACGAGCTCTAGCAGAAGCCATACTGCTAGCTCACCCAAACAGCGAAGCAGAGTGGGCGGTGTTTACGGACGCATCTGATCACACGATTGGAGCTGTCCTCCGACAAAAACACCAAGACTCCTGGCAACCACTGTCTTTCTTCAGTCGAAAGCTCTCACCTTCAATCCAGAAATATTCAACGTATGATAGGGAACTTCACGCAATATTCGAGGTCGTGAAACACTTTCGACACATCTTCGAAGGGCGCCACATCATCATATTTACGGATCACAAGCCGCTGACACGCATTCGCACAAAGGCCGGATCGTGCTTCTACACGGCAGTTCAGACGTCTCGATTTCATCGGACAATTCTAGACAGACATCAGACACGTCGCTGGATCCGACAACATAGTCGCTGACATGTTACCTCGCATTGAAACGATAGCCACGACAGTCTCCAACGAAGAACTCGAGCAAGCCCAGAAGAACGACCAAGAATTACTACAACTCATCCGCCAAGCAGACTCGGCCCTGAAATTCAAACGAATCAAGTTTTCAGCGGTAAATACGACATTGTACTGTGACGAACAATCAGGTGCAGTGCGTCCTTACGTTTCCGAGCCACTGAGAAGACGGATATTCAACTCTCTACATACTCTCGCTCATCCCGGACGCAGAGCATCACGCCGACTCGTCACACGGCACTACGTCTAGCCCTCAATGAACAAGAACTATGTAGAATGGGCTAAGCACTGTATCGCGTGCCAGAGCAACAAAATCTCACGACACTCTGCCACACCCATCAGTGAACTCCAACTCTCGTCGCAGAGGTTTGAACACATCCACATTGATCTCATATCTCTGCCTGAATCACGAGGACACAGGTGGTGTCTCACGATAGTCGATTGATTTACACGCTATCCAGAGGCTGTGCCACTAGTTGAGTCGAGCCAAGCTACTGTGGTCCACGCACTGCTATACCATTGGATCGTTCGCTTTGGAATCCGGCTGAGAATTACATCCGACCAAGGCGGACAATTCTACTCGGACACCTTCAAGCAACTCACAGAACTGCTCGGCTCCAAGCGCATAATGACGTCTTACCATCCCCAAGCAAATGGTCTCATCGAAAGGCTGCACAGACAGCTCAAAGCAGCGTTACGATGCCGCGGGGAGGACTGGTATGACATTACCTGCGGTGCTCCTCGGACTGAAAACCGCATGGAAAGAAGACATCCAGACAACACCAGCCGAGTTGACAAATGGAGAGTGCATTCGTGTGCCTGGAGAATTTTTGGCCCCATCAAATGACAGAATCACAGCGCCATCACTGGTTTCGAACTCACTTCCGCAATGTCGCACCTGTACCAATGTCACGACATGGAACGCGAGCCACCTTCGTCTTCAAAGACCTCTCGACATGCACTCACGTGTTCGTACGTTCGGACAGTCTCCGCATGGAAGTAGTATGGGAACTACTATGGCGCCCCCCACCTAAAGTCGATATGGTCTCACCACCACACCTGTCAGAGTAGCACGGCTCCGACGTGTGTGAGCGGTGGGGTACAGCGTGGCTGCGGGTGCGTCACCCGGGCGCGTATCCCAACCCCGAGCGGTTTCGGGAGAACCGCTGGTCCCTCGGCCACGAAATTAAAATTTGGGGGTCAAAAATTTTACCCCCCACCTCCGCTTGTAAGTATAGGACCCCACCACCACACCGATCGGAATAGCGCGGCGAGGGTACAGCGTATACTGAGGACGAGTACCCCAACCCCGAGCGGTTTTGGGGGAACCACTGATCCCTCGGCCGCGATACTAAAATTTGGGGGTCAAAAATATTGGCCCCCTTCATCACTAATATATTTAGGGACCGACCATCGCACCGATCGGAATAACGCGGCTCTGACGTGTGAGCGGAGGGGTAAAACGTGTACTGCGGACGCGGATCTTAATCCTGAGTAGTTTTGTTGGGGGAACCGTTGGCCCTCAGGCCTCAATATTTAGCAAAAATTCGGGGGGTCAAAATTTTTCGAATTGAAAGAGCATACCAGTGCTCCGATAAAATCCGCGAAAACCGTAAACATATTAAAAGAATACTTTACCTGCCACTGCAATCTCCTCACAGGGCTCCGAAAAATTCGAAAATCGTCATTGATAACCTTATGCATTAAATCTAACTGTCACTAAACCACTAGCACTGTCGGTCCATAGGCACTGGAGAGAAACGTCAACACTACCACTCCCTGTTCAATAGTTCTTCTATGTCCCTGTCCTCATCGGATTCTCCGAACAGCGACACCTGGGCCAACTCCTCGTCCTCGGCGTCCCAATCGTCGCGCTCGCGACGCTCCTCTTCCAACCAGCTAACCAGGCGATCCTGGGTGTAATCGGCTGGCTCGATAAGCATGGGGAATGGTCCATCCCTCTGCCACCATCCCAGCTGAGGTGGTCCACTGAGACCCCGGTGCCGAGTATCATTCTCCAGATGCTCAGCTGAGAGAATGAGAGGTTGCTCTACCCGGAGAGTCCACCGGCGGTCCGGGAATCGAGGGTCCAGCCCGTCATACCCGTCCCGTAACTCGTACGGGTCTNCGGGAATCGGGGGTCCAACCCGTCATACCCGTCCCGCAACTCGTACGGGTCCGGGTCTGCCTCGATGGCGATGGGGTCCCTGTTGAACCCCCTGATCAGGGTGGACCAATCATGGTCATCAGTGACCGAGCATGATGACGACGTGTCCGAGGAGGGTGTGGCGGGGCGCGATGGTTTTGGGATATACCCGCTGGTGGATGGTGTCGGCTCGTCCTGGGGGGTGACGGTGCTAGTGGGGGGTACAAAGTTTTTCCTCGTCACACGCATGATTACGCGCACACGTCACAAAAAAATACCCACTCTATCACACACACACGCACACACACACAATAGTCCAACTGTTTGACGATAATTGAGATCTTGTCACGGCCGCGCTTCACTGAGGACTGAAAAAAAATGATTATATGGTTTGGGGAGACAGCCGTTGAGTTGGTTACTCACCCTGGAACAATGTGCTGACCATGCAGTTTTGCACGTGCACTCTGTGACATCTTCTCCACCGTAAC